ATTAAGTTTGTATGTTTAAAATAAAATAATTAAAATACACAATAGAGAGAACTGTATATAAAGTTATTAAAAATATAATCTGGTTTTACACAAACGTTACCAGCTGTTCTCTACTGTTATTGAATATGTCAGTTAATGATAGAAAAGGGCTCAGTTACATCGTTGTATTAATATTACTGTAAACAAATGATCAATAAATCAGTATAAAGTGGAGCTGAACGCCTGCTGAAGAAGAGGAGGACACGTTATTGATCTGAGTTCATCTTTAATGACACAAACAGCTGATCAGCTTCAATCGTCGGCTCATCAAACATCAATAAATTAACACGTCGCTGAAAAATTAAAGGGAACATTTTATTTTGGCGGTCTGAGGATGCGACCGATCAGCTGACAGGAAGTTCAGACTCTCGAACCGCACAACACGAGACCGAAGGTAGAAACAGGAAACACTCACATTAACGAGCTTAAAAAAAACACGACAGCGTAGATTTATTGCATCGTATTGATCAGTGAGCCGCTCAGACCGCCACGGCGCCGCTCAGACGCCACGGCGCCGCTCAGACCGCCACGGCGCCGCTCAGACCTGCAGGTGGACCGAGTCTTCTCTCTGGTCTCCGTAACACCTGAGCGCTGCTGCAGGTCCTCGCCACTAACCTCCCTAAGCCCCGCCCCTTTCTGCTGTGCGCTCCAATCGCATAGAGATGCAAGTCGAGGCTTGCTCGACTGTGATTGGAGCGGAGCATAAAGGGGGCGGGGCTAACGATTCTATAAACGGTAAATAAAAACTAACTTCAGCTCAGAGGAGCCGCGTCCTCGAGTGATGTCACTTGAGTCAGTCTGACACTGAAACTCATCTGTCGGCCGTCGGGTTGCATTGTGGGTAACGTAGGCACCGAGCTCCCAGCATCCTCAGTGACCACGACAACAGAGACAGTGGACACGGACGATGAAGAACGCCGGCGCCGATATCGGCGAGCGCTCCGGCTGCAGCAGCAGGAAGTGATGCGTACAGACGTGTCACTTCCTCCCACACGATGAAAGTCGACTTCATCCAGCGCCGCGCGGTCACGTGACACAAAGCTCGCAGGTTTGACTCCTGTGACGGCAGCGTCCTCCTCTTCTTCACCTCTCTCTCCTCCACACACACACTATGTCTCTCTCTCTCTCTCTAATGATGGCCGTCATTGTGAGAGAGAGAATTAAAGAAATAAAGAACAATGCAGAACAAGGAGGAGGAAGCAGCCCTTCGGCCTTCATTATGAAAGCATGTTTACCTGAGTGACAGTGCGAACAGCAGCTACATTATGCGGTGTCTCGTCACACACACAACCGACACACCACACACACAACACACACACACACACACAGTTTCTGGAGAGTCTTATGGGCTTACCTTCTTCCCTGGCGTGCGAACTTTGTAATATAAGGTTTGGGGAAAATTGTGGGTTACTTTGCCTTATTTATTATTTATTATTATTATTTATTATTATTTTTAATTATTTAATAAACTGAATTTACCTGGTTCTTTTATTTAAGCTTTTAATAATTAATTTTGATTATTATGGATTGGTATTAATATTCTACAGTGTAATTTATTTTGTTAATGTTGTTGATTGATACTTATAAAATATGGACGTTACTTCCAGTTTCCCTACTGATATTTTTTCACCAATATTTTCTCTCTCAAGTATTATTTGGGAATGACTACTTAACTTTATGAGTTTAACAGTTTTTGGCTACCTGCCCCCTTCTGTAAGCAATCAGAAACGGGTGGCTTTTGTGTGGGGCAACATGGCAGGAAAAGCCCTGAACAGACCAGAACGGGACATCAGTTGAAATGGATCCTGTATATCGCCCCGGCGGATTAAAACAAAGGCGTAATCGTAATCGGTCGGTCCGATTCTGAACACAAATACACCCAAAGCTTGAATCTGTAAAAAGTACATCAGTGAAAGGGTAATTCACATTTAATTGAAACGACCCTTAATTGCCGTTCCAGCCTCGATCGGTGGTCATGCAGCTCGATGGGAAGCCGATACATAACTTGTCCTGTTGTTTAGAAGACAACGGAATGGGGGTGAAAATTAAGAAATAAGAGTCTGACGTTTTCTCACCTTTCTTTCACTCCCCTGGAATTGATTGTATCAAGCCCCAAAAGAGAAAACTCTTCCCTCTTGTGGTTTGGAACGGCCCAAAATCCCCCGACTCCGTGGGCCGCGACCCACACCCACACACCACAACCCAACACACGAGACACACCACACGCAACCACACCACAACACACAACCCCAGAACAACGAACCACACACACAAAGACTCACACAAACACCCAAGACACAACAGAAGACCACCACACACAACACACACAGAGACAAAACAAAACGACACCAACCAAACAGAGAACAGAGACCAACACACACACACACACCCACAGAAGGACCACCACAGAGAGCACCATCACGAGCACAACACACCACAACAAAGACACCACACACAGAACAAACACACACAAAGAGCAACACAGAGACAACACACACAGAACCACACAAACAAGAAGAAACAACAATATATTTTTATTGTCAAACGGGGGATCTTTTCTTTTAAAACCGTATTGTTGTGCGTTTGGTGTGGTATGTTGTGTGTTGGTTCCTGTGGTTGGTTGTATTGTGTGTTGTGTTTGGTGTGGCCTCTGTTGTTGTAATGTATGGGGGTGGTGGCTGTGTGTTTGTCTGTTGTTCTTTTGTTGGTGTAATGTAGTGTGTGGTTGGTGGTGTGTCCTCACAGAAGGCTGCCCCATGGTCGTTACATCGTTCCCAGATGAAAAAATCCATGACGAGGGAGAAACTTCCCCGCGATGGTTCCTGACTGAACTTATGTCTTGATACCAGAATCATATTGAAGTTGACCCCGGTTTTTCAACTTCGGGAAGAAAGAGAGAGAAGGGGAGAGAGAGAGAAAGAGAGGTTTAAACATCATTTGGCCAATTTCCCACACTTTAAGTTTTTCCCAGAGGCTTCCAAACCTGTTTTTCACATGTATAATTTACAACCAGAAAGAACAGATTAATCTGTAAAAGGTCTGTTTAGTTTAGATATATTATAATAACACCCTGGAAGAAATTATAAGTAATATAAACAGACAGATAAGGGTAAATTAGTAAAATTTATAATAATACTAATACATTTACAATATTTATTAAAGTTACTCCCTAATATTACCTTTAGCTTAACATATTGTTTGTTCCTTTGAATCCCCCGTAATTCCGATCACATCTTTCAGATTCAGTTTGTAAAGCTGAAATATTTTAATTGAAATAAAACTTTTTTATAAAGTGTGAGGAAGTAATTAAGTTATATTAATATAACTAACAGTTAATTACATCCACTTGTCTTATATAATTATAAAGAGTAACTGAATTACTGCTGGGCAGGGAGTAAGCGTTATTAACTTTTAAGAGTTAAATAATCAATGGTTTTCAGTAACACACAGTTTGAAACGTAAAACTTTATTTTAAAAAGGGTTTTATTTGTCCCCCCTGAAATCAGGTTTTGTGATTTAACAACTAAATATCAGTCCCCCCAACAATTAAAAACCTCAAAGTGCAGTTCAATATTTCATGCATTTATCCGGTTTGGGACGCACGGGGTTTTTCAACTGGGCAACAGCCGTTTTTAGAGCTAGGAACTTACAGGAGCTAACGGGCTTTAAAAAACAGGAGCTAACAGGCTTACCGCCGTAAAGGCGAAAAGAAGCTAAACAGAAAAGCAATAGCAAAGCCAAATGCTAACAGAAACCAACATACTAACAAGGAGCTAACAGCTAAAATGTAAAGGAAAAAAGCTTAACATACCAAGCAGCTTAACATAGCTTAACAGAACCTAACGAGCTAACTGGCTACAGGTAGAATGCAAAGCAACTAACAGAAAAGCCTACAGGCTAAC